GGAACACAGCCAGTTTGTTCAATAAATGGGTCTGGGAAAACTGGACCTCCACATGCAAAAAAAAAGAAACTAGCCCACTACCTCTCACTGTGCACAAAAATAAACTCAAAATGGAGAAAAGAAATGGACATAAGACCTAAAACCATAAAATATATAGAAGAAAATATAGGTAAAACACTACAAGACATACACCTCAAAAACATCTTTAAAGACTCATCACCCAAAGCAGTGATAGTGAAGGCAAAGATAAACACCTGGGATTACATCAAACTGAAAAGCTTCCACAGCCAAACAGACATTAACCAAAACAGAGAGACACCCCACTGATTGGGAAAAATCTTTGCATTCCATTCAACTGATAAGGGACTGATCACAAAGATATACAAAGAACTCACAGGGTTCAACAAAAACAAAATAAACAATCCAGTCAAGAAATGGGCAGAACTCAAAAGACATTTCTCCAAAGAGGAAATGCAAATGGCCAACAGGCGTATGAAAAAATGTTCAACATCCCTCTTCATCAGGAAAATGGAAATCAAAACCAGATTGAAATACCACCTTACACCAGTAAGAATGGCACATATTCAAAAAACAAGCAATAACAAATGTTGGTGAGGATGGGGTGAGAAAGGAATGCTCCTACATTGCTGGTGGGAGTGCAAACTGGTCCAACCACTGTGGAAAGCTGTCTGAAGTTTCCTCAGTCTACTAAAAATGGAGCTACCATATGATCCGGCAATTCCACTACTAGGGATCTACCAAAGGACACAAAACAGTGATTCAAAAGAACACCTGTACACCTATGTTTATTGCAGCACTATTTACAATAGGTGAAACCTGGGAACAATCCAAATATCCAAAAACAGATGAGGGATCAAGAAGATGTGGTATATATACACAATGGAATATTATTCAGCAATCAAAAAAGATAAACTCATGCCATTCACAGCAACATGGATGGTGAAAGAAGGAATTATGCTCAGTGAAATAAGCCAGAAGGATAATGAAAAATATCAGATGGTTTCACTTATAACAGGAATATAGGGGAGGCCTCCCCAGTGGCGCAGTGGTTCAGCACTGGGCTGTGAAGCTGCCCGCACGTGCTGCCTCTGCAGTGCTGGTTTGATCCCCGGCCTCCGTCAAGGGTCCCACATGGCGCGCAGAACTCTCCTGCCGCCCGCTGCTCCCCTCAGCAGTGTACTTCGGTCCTTCTGCCTGTTCTGCTCCCCGCTCTGGCTCTGGTGAATTCTCTCACCGTCCCATGCTTTTGACTGTACCCAGTGCTTGTATAAATAAATAAATAAATAAATAAATAAATCTGTTTAAAAAAAACCCCAAAAATAGGAATATAGGGGAACCAAATAAGACAGTGTAAAAAAATAATAATAACAGTGAAAAACACAACAAAGTGAAAACAGACAATTATAAACCAGAGACATACTGCAGGTGAGGAGGAGGGAGAGGGGTGAGAGGGAGGAAGTGAGGAGCACAGGGGACTGTGGTGATGGTGCATGGGTGCCTTGGGGAAGGAAATTCTAGGGGGACTCAATCTGTGGGGGTGAGGGGAAGCAAATATTGTCTAAAAATGTAAACAATGATAAATGTTAAAATAAAAAAAGAAGATGTGGCATATTTACATGGTAGAATACTACTCAGCAATCAAAAAAGAAACTCATGCTATTTGGAGGATAGTGGATGGAGCTGGAAGGGATTGTGCTAAGCAAATTAAGCTGGAAGGAGAATGATTAAACACCAAATGCCATCACTTATATGCAGAATATAGAGAAACCAAACAGGGTCAGTTGAAAGCAAACATTAAAACCAATCTGTGAAAGCAGACCACAGACATTGCACAGAGGAGCAGGGAGGGGGTTGAGAATGGGTTGGGGTGAGGAGAACCTAATGGACAATGATTGAGGACTATGGGCGCTTTGGTAGTGGGAGAGTAATGGTGACAACACCTGAGGGGAGAAATTCTATATTGTAAAAATACAAAGATGTTAAACCCATAATACTTCATTAAATAAAGAAAATTAAATTAAATGGTTAATTTTATGTCATGTGAAATGCACTTTATTCAAAGTTCAAAAAAATGTTAGCAGGATATTGACCTGAGCAGTGTAGAACTTGGAACTACCCTGGTTGGGCAGGACTAGCATAGCTGGGAGATCCCCGAAAGACCTACAGTCCTACCACTCTGGAGTTCTGGAGCAGAGGGAAAATCTTGGATTGGGGTGTAGTTGCCTGCTCCCAAAGAGGTGCACTCAGCAGGGACAGAGCTTGGAATGGACAATTAGCATGATCCCTAACAAGACACTAGGGATTGATTCCAAGGTGATAGGATAGAGGGTAAATTGGACTCTTTGAGGTCCTAGTGATTCCAGATCTGGGTCCAGAGACCTGCTAGCCCATACCATTCAGCCCAGGAAGCTCTCTCAAACAAGAGGTGTATCATCTCCTGCCAGATATCTCCATAGCAATAGGGGACACCTTCTACAGGTAAGTAGAGAGAGGCTGGGCACAGGGAATGGAAGCAGTAAATAGGGGCTTTGGAGTCACCAGTTATAGTTGCTGTATGGGCTCAGAGAAGTGGCTTTGCCTCTCTGGCTCAGCTCATTTGTCTATATTAAAATCATAGTAAAATGGGGAGGGCTTTATGTGTGTAAGCCCTGATAAGATGTTCCAACTTCTGGTTCTTGCATCATAGAGTTGAAAAGCTTTGGAAAAAGAAAGGTTATACTCAGCAGTGCATTGTTCTCTCTACCCACTTCATCCTATAGATGGAGTGAGGAGAGCCTGTTTTAGAGGACAAACAAAAAATGAAGCTTGTCAAACTCCCTCTCATGCATCATGTGCACAGGATAGGTAAGAAATGTTAGTTATTACTTGCAGGGTGAGGGGGTTCCAGTGTAGGGTTTTAAGCAAACGAGAGGCTAGTCACTTTGTTTTGGTAGTGGTCACTGTGGAGGTTGAACTAGAAGAGCAAGCCAAAAGGACCAAAAAATGTAGCTGGGTATCAGTGTGTGTGTGTGTGTTTCAGGGATTCATAAAAAGACATAATCCCAAGCTGAAAGAGTATGTATTCATCACCCACCATAAGAACTGAAACTATTTATATACCCCTACCCCTCACTCCAATTTACTTCCCTCCTGCCCTTCTCTCTCCTTTTTGATAGCTAACTTTACATAAGTGCAAAGTATCATTTCTGTTACATTTTTTCACTCTGCAGAATGCATCCATGAACAATACATAGACTTGTGCTGCATGTTTTTACACTACATAGGCAAGATCCTGTGCACATCCTTCTATGATGGTTTTACTTTTGCCAGTGCTTTTTAGAGTCATCCAAATTGGTGTGAACAGTTTCACATTTCTTCTATTTCTTCATCTATGGACTTAGATTGTTTCCATATTTTAGCTAGGGAAATAATGCTGAATTTAACATATGGATGTATATCTTTTTGAGTCAGTATTTCTATTGTCTTTGGATAATACCCAGAATTGGCATTGGTAAATAATACAGTAGTTTTATTTTATTTTTAATTTGGACTCTCCAAACTATTTTTTATAGTCCTGTACCCACATAATTTTTAAAAAGTGTTTCTTTTCAAAATACAAATTATTTGTTATATTTAACACTGAACATTAACAGTACAAAACAGTCCCTGAATTTTGTATTAATTTTCTAGGGTTGAAATCACTGTGAATCTTTTATTCTCTGTTATCAACAAATGCTACATATCACTGTTTGTGGAATGTAATGGAACATTAAAAAGTTTATTTAAACTTTCCACTCAGAGATATTATTTTAATGTTTTATTATAAATAATAAAATTTCAATTATGAAAACATCACACACATATGATGTACAGAAGTGCACAAACAATACAATCCAAATAAATCTTAACTATTTAAGAACAACTTTGAAATTTGAGGATAATGATAAACTGGCACCTCTCTTACACCACAGAGCATTAGATTAATGCACAACCATTTTGCCACCTGACAGCAATCAAATTGGCAAAAAATTTCACAATTGTCTCTCAGTTGTCACCCATGTAGCAAAACTCAATAATAATTAGCTTGAAATATTGAGCTAATATTATAATTTTATTGTTAATTATCTTTAATATTCTTTGAAGGAAATATAAGGGTATTTCCTAGACTGATAAATATTCTGAATTTCAGCAACAGGACAATTGTATAGGTAAATGTTGGCTTTACATAGTCTTGGATTAGCCACAGGAAGTCGTGGTTGCTTTTGACATGCAGACAAGACAGATTTTTGCAGTCTTGAGGTACAATGGAGAGAGAAGGTAAGCAGTATCTGGAGAGAATAAAGAAAATATTCCCTCAAAGGTGGAAGAAATTTTGGAATTTTTGAGCCTCAGTTTTCAGTATCCCAAAATCAGATTCTGAGTGACAGATTTGAACACAGGTTATTTGGGAGATAATTCCAGGAGACCCAATAATTAAGGGGAAGTGAGAATGAGGATAATCAGTTACCCACTCCAGGTAACTAGGGAATGATGCCTCTAGGGATCCCTGAGTGACTGTAGAGGACACCTCATATCTGTCCTCCTCAGGAGTAATAAACCTCTCTCTTGCTAGCCAAAGGGTATGTCAAAGGGTACCCAATAAACCTCTCTCTTGCTAGCCAAAGGGTATGTCAACTCTGCACTTCTGGGCTACCTTGTGTGTAAGCTGAGCCTGCTACTGTGTCCAGATGAAGTGTGAAGGCACACGAATACAGGGGATGGAGGTAGAAATGTTTAGTGTGATAGATAGCTGTCCACCAAGTTGCAGGGTCATTCTGACATTGGACAGTAGAAAATAAATGGCATGTTAACTGATGAAGCAGCAAATGGGAGGTAGAACCTGTTGCAGGAGACAGTGGAAAGAACTGATGAAAGATGAGTTCTAGGTGATATTGAGGGAACTACCCTGGTCAGAACTCTGGACAGTCTCCTATTTTCTTTGTGATTGACCCAGGATGGCCATGGAAAGGGGAAACCTCACCCAGGTCTCTGAGTTCCTCCTTTTGGGCCTCTCAGAAGACCCTAAGCAACAACAGCTGCTGTTCATACTCTTCCTGAGCATGTACCTGGTCACAGGACTGGGAAACCTGCTCATCATCCTGGCCATCGTCACTGACACCCGACTCCACACCCCCATGTACTTCTTCCTGGCCAACCTGGCCTTTGTGGACATTTGCTTCACTACCACCACCATCCCCAAGATGCTGGTCAATCATGTCACAGGACACAAAGAAATAACTTATGCTGGCTGCTTGACCCAGATGTTCTTCTTCATCTGGTTCGCTGGCATTGACAGTTTCCTGCTGGCTGCCATGGCCTATGACCGCTATGCTGCCATCTGTCACCCTCTGCACTATGCCACATCTGTGACACCACAGCTGTGTATCCTCCTGGTGGCAGCATCCTGGACCTCAGCTTTTGGGAATTCCCTGACTCACACACTATCACTAACTCGCCTCTCATTCTGCACCCACAACCGTGTTCCCCATTTCTTCTGTGACCTCAGCCCTCTGCTCAAACTGGCCTGCTCTGATATTTTTCTCAACAATGTAATGGTGTACACGGTGGGTACTATGACTGTTATCACACCCTTTGTGGGTATCTTGATCTCCTACACATGTATTTTTGCTGCAGTTCTGAGAATCCCATCCAAGAGAGGCAAGCAGAAAGCATTCTCCACCTGTGGCTCTCATCTCTCTGTGGTGTCCCTGTTCTATGGTACACTCATTGGGGTTTATTTCAGTCCTATGTCCTCCCACACAGCCCAAAAGGACACAGCCTCTGCAGTGATGTATACTGTGGTCACTCCCATGCTGAACCCCTTCATCTATAGCCTACGCAACAAGGACATGAAAGGTGCCTTGGGGGCCCTCATCAGTGGAAAGCCAGCTCCCACTTAGTGACATGAGTATCAGGATAACCAAGTCTCCAAATATAGTGCCTGTCTTTTTTTCATTTTCCCCCAAAGTTCTAATTTTAGATATTTACTTCATATCACTTTAGGTTCATTTGTGCATTGCTTCATTCTTCCAACAGTTATTTATTGAGTGACTACTACATATTAGGTACTCCATTAAGGGCTTGGGGTCCAACAGCAAATATACAAAACCCCTCATTTGTGGCACTTACAATGCATGGGCTGGGGCACCTACACTTCTCTAGAACATACAATGGTGAGTTCCTTTTTCTCCACATCCTTGCCAACATTTGTTGTTGCTAGTTTTTTTGATATGTGCCATTCTTACTGGTGTAAGGTGGTATCTCAATGTGATTTTGATTTGCATTTCCCTGATTATAAGGGATGTTGAATATTTTTTCATATGCCTGCTGGCCATTTGCATTTCCTCTTTGGAGAAATGTCTTTTAAGTTCTTCTGCCCATTTCTTGACTGGATTGTTTACTTTGTTTTGTTGAGCCCTGTGAGTTCTTTGTATATCATTGTGATCAGTCCCTTATCAGTTGTCTGGAGTGCAAAAAATTTTCCCAAGCAGTGGGGTGTCTTTTTGTTTTAGTTAATGTCTCTTTTGCTGTACAGAAGCTTTTTCAGTTTGATGTAATTCTAGGTGTTTATCTTTTCCTTGACTTTCTTTGTTTTGGGTGATGAGATGCAATGGAATACTATTCAGCAATCAAAAAGATAAACTCATGCCATTCACAGCAATGTGGATGGAACTAGAAGGAATTATGCTCAGTGAAATAAGTCAGAAGGAAAAAGAAAAATATAGGATGGTTTCATTTATAGCAGTAATATAGGGGAACCAAATAAGACATCATTGTAAAAATAATAATAATAATATAAAACACAACACAACAAAACAGACAATTATAAATCAGAGACATCCTGCAGGGGAGGAGGAGGGAGAGGAATCAGAGGGAGGGAGGAAGGAGCACAGGGGACTGTGGTGATGGTGCATGGGTGCATTGGTGAAGGAAATTCCATGGGGACTACACCTGGAGTGGGGAGCAAATATTGTTTAAAAATGAACAATGATGTGGAAAATAAATAAAAAAATTAAAAAAAATAACTGTCCCCGCAAAGAACATATGATGGTTACAAGAAAGTGTTCTGAAAACTGGAGACCAGGATTCAAGTCTCGCTTTACATCAATGTCCAGGTTAAGGTGCTATAAAAAAGATAACCCAAAATATAACTGAGGCTACCATAAGGGGAAGAGGATGGGAGAAAACAAGTGGGGAGGGAGCACAATGGACTGTGGTGGTGGATATTTTGGTGGTGGGTGTGATGTGGTAATGGCACCTGAAGTCGGAAACCCCATACTTATAAATCACATACAACATTATAAACCAATGTTACCTCAAAAACTTAGAGTAAAAGTAAAATAACATAATCTTTTTAAAAGAAAAAAGTTGCAAGATTTTTCAGACTGAACTTTGATTCTTTTTATTAAAGATTTATTTATTTATACATACAAGAACTGGGGTACAGGCCAGATTTGTGGATTCACCAGAGACAGAGTGGGGAATAGAACAGGCAGATTGACTGAAATACACTGCTGAGGGAAGCAGTGGGAGAGTCAGGAGAGGTCTGCTGCGCTATGTGGGTAGCTTCCTGGCTGTGGTGAGCTTCATAGGTTGCATCTTAATCCCTTGCTCCATCAAGGAGGCCCATGAGCTTTGATTCTTTAGCTGCATAACACCTTCAAAAAAATTGAGTAGGTGTTTGAACTTGGGTCTATTTCATTCCATTGCTAATAAAATACTCAATTTTTTTTTATAGCCAGAGCTCTGTGTCTATTTAATTTGTGGTACTTGGTTCCTAGAACTCCCTTTATCTTTGTCACTGTCAGTTAATGGTCTTCTGAATCAAAACCCTTGGGTAGGAGGTAAGAGCCCATTATTTACAGGGTATGTTGTCCTGTCCACAACACCCATTGAGACATTTGGTTCATGCCAAATTTCCTTGGTATTTGGTGGTCTGTTCAAAATGTTTGGAAACATTTAGTCCATGTTGAAAGGTCCTTGATCTTTGGAGGGGGCACAAAATGTCTATGGTGGTAGACTGTGGACTATGGCAACAATGCCTGGGCTGGGACGCCTACACTTCTCTGGAGGAAACAAAGCTGTAAACCAATATTAGCTCAATAAAAACAGAAAAAAACATCAATTGATATACTTGGTTCATGCCAAAATGTCTTTGAATTTGGTTCAAAACCATTTATGAATATGTTTTGTCTGTGACTTATCAAATAACACAAACATTAACTTTAGTAAAATTTTATTTTTATTGTAATTCACAACTTATTTTGGATTTCACAGTTATTCTTGTTATTCCTTTTTATCAGTTTCAGCAGGGTTAATTTTAACTTGATGATTACTCCCAAGTATATATGGACCTATTGTTGACTTTATATTCATTGTATCTGTCAACAATTTAGTTTAAATGAATTTGATTTGGTCAGTGTCATCATGAAGTTGTTGTCTACACAGTCTATGTTTGAGCGTAACGCCAAGAACATGGGTGGTAACTTGTTCTTTGCTTAGCTGTTTATCTTTTACACTTCAACAAATCTCCAAATTGAAGGAAGCTGCACTACCATTAGCTTTTGAAATTCCTTCTGCTGTGCTGTTTGTCCTGTGATCAACATTCAGTACTGATGTATAAATATTTCGAGTTTCTGAAACAATCATCTTGGAACTTCTGATCTTTATCTGCCTCTGCCACACCTTCCACAGACATGTACTTCCTCAACATAGTCAAGGTTGTTTAATTTTTCTGCATTCTCCACAATGTACTCAAGTTTCATTTATATCTCCCAAAGCACAAACAGAAAGCCAACAACATGGATGTACACTTACAGGTGTTAATTTCCTTTGTCATGTTCTCTTGTTAGAATCAAAGAAGATTTCTACTGAGTCTGTTGTGATTTCTCCTCTTTTAGTTATAATCCTATTTATATGTATTTTCTCCTGTTTTTTCTTTGTGAGCCTGGCTAGAGGTTTGTCTATTTTGTTTATTTTTTCAAAGAACCAACTTTGGGTTTCATTGAACTTTTGTATTTTTTTAACCATCTGATTATATTTATTAATTATTATTATTATTATTTTTAAAATTTTATATATTTTTACATCATTTTTCATTTTTGCACAATGTATGCATATGCATATTGGTTATAGTCCCCATACAATTCCCACCCCACCCTTGTTTTGATCCTACTCCCTTCTCTCCCCCTGTAGTGTGTCTCTAGTATATAGTTGCTGGTTTATAGTTGATTTTTACTTTATTGTAATTAGTCTTTTTCCTGGTCCCTTATTTAGGTTTTCTAAGTTCCTGCTATGAGTGAGACCATCTGGTATTTTTCTTTTTCTTTCTGGCTTATTTTGCTGAGCATGTTCCCTTCCAGCTCCATCCATGTTGCTGCAAATTGCATGAGTTTATCTTTTTTGATTGCTGAGCAATATTCCATTGTGTATATATACCACATCTTCTTGATCCAGTCATCTGTTTTTGGGCATTTGGGTTGTTTCCAAAGCTTAACTATTGTAAATAGTGCTGCTATAAACATAGGGGTGCAGATGCCCTTTGGAGTTAATGTTTCTGTGTCATTTGGGTAAATACTTAGGAGTGGAATTGCTGGATCATATGGAATCTCTATTGTTAGTAGGTTGAGGACTCTCCACACAGCTTTCCATAGTGGTTGGACCAGTTTGCACTCCCACCAGCAGTGCAGGAGAGTTCCTTTTTCTCTACATCGTCGCCGACATTTGTTGTTGCTAGTTTTTTTTAATATGTGCCATTCTCACTGGTATCTCATTGTAGTTTTGATTTGCATTTCCCTGATTACAAGTGATGTTGAACATTTTTTCATATGCCTGTTGGCCATTTGCATTTCTTCCCAAAGAACACTTTTTTTTTTATCACAGTGATTGTGAAAAATGAAATAATCACTCTATTACCCTATTTGTCAAATTACCCTATTTGCTACCTTGAGCACTTAGAAAAATGCAGAAGATATGGTATTCAGGTTCTACTTAGTCTGGGCCTCCCAGCACTATAAAAACTTTATGACCCCTCTGGGGCCCTAGCAGTGTGAACCTGCAAAGAAGGGGGAGAAGTACCCAAAGGAAAAAAAGGTAAAGTTGATGCTAGCAAGCCTGCAGAAAACAGAGATGGCAAAACATACCAAGCACAGAAAGCTGAAAGTGTTGGAAATCCAAGTGTGTGTATTTTTCATAACTGTACTTCTGATGACTGTACAGTTTGAAATACTGTTTTAACTAGCTTTATAAAAATGCATAATTTTTTTGTTTGCTTAAAAGCTATATTATTAGTACACAGAATACTTCATTTTTTTTTTAATAAAGGGCGTATGTCAACAATAGAATGTCTTTGAAGCTGGATTGATGTGTGTGTGGGGGGGGAATCTTCCCCTTCTAATTTAGAGAATCTCTTAGTTTCCAGGAAGAGGGATTCCTGGATATTTTCAAACATTAGCCAAATTGGCACAGGCACCTTGTGGTGTGGAATAATGAAAATTCATTATTTTGTATGGCCTTTCCTTCTTCACCTTCAGTCTATACTTGACTCCCTTAAACCTAGAACGATCAGTTGAGACTTTACTCAAACAAAGTGGCTTTCAGTGTATCAGCCAATCTGGACTTTCTAGTGTCATCATTGAGATGTAAAGCAACGATGCTTCAATAGAGAAAGAAAAAAGAAGTGGTTTGGTTTTTCAGATTGTGGATCTTTAGGTTGAAAAATCTGACATATTCATTACATTTCCTGAAAGTCGGGGTCAACTTGTGAAAAGTTGTTAAACAACCTGTCAAATGTGAAATGTTAACCCTCACTATAAACTTTCCTTTGTTCAGAGCTTCAAATGAAACCTTTATTGGATTTTACAGTGACTTTGGATTTTGGTAGTCCATTGAGGAAGGGAGC